CAACCACATGATGGCGTGTATGATCGTATAGGGTCCAAGGGGGTTATACTCCGAAAATATTTTTTCCTTGAAGACCTGTGCGAATAGTGAATTTGGTCTTTCAATTAATCGCCATAACTGTTTTGCTAGTAATGCCCTTCCTGGGTTTATTTGTCCCCGTGGCTGTCCATTTATCAAAACTTTGTATCAAACCGAGGTAATGCAGAGCATCATCCATGTTATCCATTTTTCCGCAAAACCAAACTGTCTCAAAAAAGTTTTTGATTAATTCCATTCAACCCTGTCATATGCTTTACTCATATCCGTGCCATGTTTACTTTTGCATGATTTGTTTGTGTGCAGTCCATGAAACATCTCCTGAGCTATGAGTATATTATCCATAATTAAACGACCAGCCATAAAAGCTGACTGTGTTTCCGAGATCATGTTGGGTAGTAATTGTTTCAACTGTTGGCATAAAACTTTAGATATGATCTTATAACCTACATTACAAAGACTAATTGGATGAAGTTCTGTCATCCTTGTGGGCCTTTCTGTTTTTGGTATTAAACAAATATTTGTCATATTCAATCTGTCGTCGAAGCTTCCAGTTTCCAAAAAACCGTTGACTAGACCTAAAATATCAGCCTTGATAATTTGCCACCAACGCTGGTAAAAGAGTGCTGTCATCCCATCTGGACTCAGAGATTTCTCTGGATGCATCATAACAGTGTGCTCCATACTTCCTTCTCAGTAGCCCTTGCTGTTAGCATCTCATTAGTACTATTTGTAATTAATGTTTTTATCTCCATCAACGCATTCTGAAAATCTATTGGTGAAGTTGAAGTAAATAATTCGTCAAAATAATTGACAGCCACTTGTTCAATCTTTTTTTTCAGAAGTTACCCATGTCCCTCCCGCATTATATATGTAATCCTATGGTCCGGTTTTGCGCTCTCCCCTGTTTAATTTGGGCAGATAATTTTTTTTTCTTTTTATCCCCCATTTTTGCCCATTGTGTTATGCTTTTCTGTTGCCAGAATAATACCTCATCACAATACGCTTCCCTTAACTTTGTGTAATCTCTATAAATTCCTCTTCTGTCCTTGTATCATCGTTTTGTATTTCATTTAAAGCTAGCTTTAGCTTATCTATTTTTCCCTTCCATATGGTTTAAGATTTTTCTGCCATTTGGATATTCCTCTTTGACAATAATTTTGTCCACAAATGTCAGGCTCTCATCACCAGCACCTAAGTCCCATCCTTTAGAAATAAACTCCATTAAACCGTCGTGTGCTACCCATCTCTTGTCAAATCTAAAGTGAGATTTTTCTTTGGAATTTTATCCTCTATAGTAGCAACAATAGGCCTATGATCTGATCCGATCATAGCATCAAATTCAACAAAAGAATGTGAAAAAATCTCATGCCAATTTTAATTGGCTAGTGCCCTATCCAATCTGCACCTAACGATTGATCTGTTTCTTCTCCCTCTCCAAGACATAGTATTTCACAAACCTTCCAGCTTTGATTTGTAAATCTATTACTAATAAAAGTTGAAGCTATATGCCTCTAAAAAGAGTTATTTACGTTCAAAGACACTTTCCAGTTTCATTCTTACAAAAGAGTCACTTATAGCTATTAGGTAACTTATTTTTTTGTTAATCCAAAATTATCGCTCATGGATACGATAAGGTGGATACGAACTAGTGGATAGCAGATTAAACCCAGATTTTAAAAACAGTGATTATTTTTTCCCATCTATTTTGTTTTGTATTTTTCTATATTTTGGAAGATATAAAATAATTTTTTTGGTTAGAATGTGTTATAATTTTATTTTTTCATTGTTTTAAGATCCATTATACTATAGTTTATTTATTAAACAATAATTTTTTTTAAAACACATATATAAAAAAATTTAAAAAAACAGAATTTTAGGTAGATATCCACTCAGAAAATATGATGTGGATGATGCATAATGGACATATAACATGGACATGATTGCGTGGATATGCTTTCAATGAAATATCTACTCAGAAAATATGATGTGGATGATGCATAATGGACATATAACATGGACATGATTGCGTGGATATGTTTTTATTGATATATTCAACATGGATATACATTTTACATTGTCTATAACCTATCCACATGATCCATGTCCACCTATGGACAATGTAAAATGTATATTCATGTCGAATATATCAATGAAAACATATCCACACAATCATGTCCATGTTATATGTCTATTATGCATCATCTACATCATATTTTCTGAGTGGATATCTACCTAGACTTCTGGTTTTTTTTTAAAAAATTATACATGTGTTTTTGAAAATTTTATTGTTTGATAAATAAACTATAGTATGATGGGTCTTAAAACAATAACAAAATGAAATTATAACTCATTCTAACAAAAAAAGTTGTTTTATTTCTTTCACAATACATAAAAATACAAAACAAAACAGATGGGGAAAAATAATTATTGTTTTTAAAATCTGGGTTTAATATGCTATCCACTTCTTCGAATCCACCTTATCGTATCCACGAAGGATAATTTCGGGTTATTTGGGCGTAAACAGTAAAATAAGTTACCTAATAGCTGAAAAAGTCTTTTAGTGTAATACCTCTTATAGAAAGTGTATTTTAGTGTAATTATCTCTTGTGAATGTCCACATATGATTTAAAAGTTTAATTCTATTGTTTCACATCAATATTTAAAACTAAGAAATTTTCTAAATTTTAAAATTATATTGTTAATAAAAATTTATATTTATAGAAAAATAAAAGTTGAAGCTATCTGTCTCTAAGGACATCCACATAAGATTTAAAAGGTCAATTTTATTAGTCCACATCAACAACTAAAATTAAAAAAGTTTCTAAATTATAAAATTACATTACTAATACAAAAAAATATAGGAAAAATTGTTAATTAAAATTATTCTATTATTAATAACAGTTAAACTATATTATTTTTAAAGCATCCAAATCAGCAATAAAACTTTTAATTTTATTCGTATATATCAAAATTGTAAATTAAATTTTTTTCATAATTCTAATATTATGGTTAAGAAAATGAATTAAAAATAAAGAAATCTCCATTAACAACAAAAAAAACCAACATGAAATTAAAATCTTTATTATCACTATATTAAGTTACAAATTTTAAAAATATATGCTACTTATACAAGTTTAAGTTACTTGATTTTAAGACTTTTCACATAGAATATTAAATAACTAATCATTATGATTTATATTCATCTAAATTTTTTCCACATATGCGAAACATATTTTCATATAATTCTCATGTAATATACTATGCGAAAATGATCGAATAAATTATATTTTGTATATTCTAATTGGAATTGCAATAGTTTTGAGTTGTTAAATTTATTAGTTCATTTTTGTAAATTTGTATGTATTAAATTGTACCGGTTCTTCCTACTTAATTATAATTAGAAGAAATAAGAATAAATATTATGAAATTGACTATAATCATACAAAAATCATTAAAATAAATAAATATAATATATTCATTAAAAAAAATATAACAAGAATAAAAATAAAAAAATTTCATTTTTATTAGAAGGGATGACGTATAATTATTGAAAAATTATTTAAAATTTTACACAACTAATTTACTAAAATATATTTAATTCATAAGTTTTTAATGATTTTATTTATTTTACATTCAACTATTGTTTTTGTTCAATTGTTATTAATCTCAAAGCAAACATTTTATTTATTAGTTTGTTTTTTAAATTAATATATCAATATAAAAATTTGTATTGGTTAAACAAGAGAAGAAAAAAATTAAATTATAAATTTTATTGTTTTTTATTGTTCTTAAATAACACATATATAATTAGAATAAAAATGAAAATGATGAAAAAAATTATCTTCATGATTTAAAGAAGGAATGTGTAATATTTCGTCATTATGTCAATACTATGTTTAAAAAGAAGCATTTCATTATATTGTAAAAATTTTAGTTGGTTTGGGTATATTAACTTATATGTATTTGTCCAAATAATATATTTTTAAAATATGACATACAATATATAGATTAAAAAAACCGTTCAAACCTCACAATTTACATAAAAATTATTAGATTAATACCATAATATTTTAATATATTATTAAAAAAATAATATATAAAATTTATATTTTAATAAATATAACTGATTTTATATAATTTTATCAACAAAATACCTACGCATAGCGTGGACGCAAAATCTAGTTACTAATAAATGTTGAAGATATATACCTCTAATTGTGTCCACAAAGAATTTAAAAGTTAATTCTATTGGTGTACATCAATATTTAAAAGAAAAAATGTTTCCAAATTTTAAAATTGTATTGTTAATACAAGAATAAATATAGAGAAAATTATTGATTTAAAAATCTTCTATTATTAATAGCAGTTAAAACTATATATTTTTCAGGGCGTCCAATCAGCATTTTCTTAATGATTAAAAAAAAATTATTTTCTTAATTTAAAGAAGTGATCTCCATGTCAATACTATGTTTAGTAAACAGCATTTTTCAATATTTAGCTTTTTTAGTTACGTTGTTTGGTATATTAACTTATAAGTATTCGACCAAATAATACATTTTTTAAACATCACATATATAGATTAAAAAAACTGTTAAAATCTCATAATTTATATATAAATTATGAGCTTAAAATTGTAATATTTTTAATATATTAATAAAACACTAATATATATAAAAATATCTTAATAATAATAATTGATTGCATGTAATTTTTACTAAAAAATATCCACGCGTAGCGTGAACGCAAAATCTAATATCAATAAGAAGAAAAAAAGAAGAAGAAATGAAATGAAACATACTTCTTTAGTTTTTTAAAAAATTAAGTTTCTAGAACAACATATTTGTAGTGCTTCACTAAAATGTGTTCTACTGAGCCTTACTTAAAGATAAAAATGAAGGGAACCCAAAACATACCACCTCTTGTTTAAGGATTGTCCTTTTAAGATGACAAAATAGACCTTTTCAATTAGTTTTGCTCTTGTTAAATGTTTTCACAACCTTTTTGGAGAAATATTCTTCATACATCTTACTGATAAGATGAGGATTCTTTTTCACTATCTCCACGTTATCTTTTCCTTTAGTGACTTCTTCCATATTATCGATGATATTTAATAATGCAGCATCACCCAACTTTTTTGCGTTGTACTGTTGAGCAAAAACATAAGCCACCAGAGACTTTTCCAAACTCAAATTGTTTACCAAAAATTTCTCACAGAAAATTTTCAGCCGCATTACTTGATATTGATCTGACAAGACGAAGAGATCACATGCCATTTGCTCATCCAGACATGCTTTACCTGTGTAGAGATACTCAATAAAAGTTTGAAGAGTCTCATAAGATACGTTACTGATCTTGACTCTGCTGCTACGACTTTCTTCTGTATTATTCTCAAACATTGCTCTGAAGACTGGTGAACGACTCATCTAGTAAAATAAATCAAGTTTTTTTTAGAACCCTAATAAAGATTATAGACTTGTAGAAAGTTCACTCCATTAAAGAGATTATAGAATTGAAGAAAGTTTACTCTAGAAAACTTTCACAACACTCATTATCTATGAGATATATTAATGTGATAGATCATAATATATTCAAACCCTATAAAGGAATACAGAGGACAAATTAAAACTCCAGTTTCTCATCATGTTCTGGTGCAAAGCAGAAAATTGGGTTCTAACAAAAGTAAGTAAAACCAATGAAGAAGATACTAAATGAAAATATATATTCAACATATTAACACAGATCATCATTTTTTTATTGAAAATGAAATTGAATTAAAGCAGTTCTTAAAACCAAAGAAGATGATACACATGAAATGGGAAAGACATAGAAGTGATCTAGAAGATACTAAATGAAAATATATCATTCGACATATTAACACAAATCATCATTTTGTTTAAAAAAAACACAAAACGAATATTGAATTAAAGCAGTTCTTACAAAACTAGGAAAAGGCTAGTAACTTAACTTAGTACCATATGACTGCAACTTCTATTTAATTCTAACTTCAAATAGATAAGAATGGACAGAAGTTTTTTTTTCTTGAAAATTTCTTTATCGTTAACGCAAATCTCTCTATTTACATTGAATGACCAACTATCAAACACAAACACATATATTGAATATTTAAAAGAAACATAAAAATCAAAGTTAAAATAACTCATCACCAAAACTAATGGCCTAAAAAATAGAGAACAAACCAGAATAAATTTATGAGCAGGAATAGGAGCGGCAGAAGCCGCTGAATTAGAGGCGATGAGAACAACGTCCGCGAAAGACTTGGAGTTGCTGACGTGATCTTGAGAAGAGGATAAGCGAAGAAAATCAACTTTGGCCTTTACAGCGTTGACCTTCTTCAAGAGTTTTTCATGCGGGAAATACATGTCCCCATCACAGCACTCCTTGCAGATGCGGCGGGAATCATGAGGGAAATACATCTCCCGACAAGAGATGCAGCACACCTCCATGCCAGTGTTAGAATCACTGGAATCGCTGAAATCGCTATCCGGGTCGTTGTGGCAAGAGCGATGTCTCTCCATCCTACATAAAAAGTTATGTAAATCGAACAATTTTTTTTAAAAAAAAACAGAACCGCTCCTCCTTTTTATAATTAAATCGATCAAAGGTTATATTTGGTTTTTGTTGACAAAAAAAATACATACATATGTTAGAGATTTTTCTTAACAAATAATATTGAGATATAGAACTTTGGTGACTATTATAGTATCAAATCTTAATATTATAGTAATATTAAGATTTGATACTATAATAGTCACATCCATTGAATCTGCCAAAGTTCTATAACTTAATTTTTAAAGGTAATGACACCAAGAAAATCTAATTTAATTCAGGTAACTTAGTGCATTTTTGGTGAGTATTCATCCCAAAAAATACAAATTGAATATATGGTAAAAAATACTCATCATAAAGAAACTAATTGTCTGAAAAAATTTGTTGGTTCTTTGTGAGATGTAGGAAGGAAAAATTGTTCAGTAGAAGAAAAAATAATAGAAATTTGATATTTGACATGATATCATATCATTAGCCATATAATTATTTTTATTATTATTATAATTGAATTGATCAAAAGTTCTATTTGGTTTTTATTGACCAAAAAAAAAATATACATACATATGTTTGGATTTTCTGTTACCAAATAATATTAAAATTTGATACTATAAATCTAATCCATTGAATATGCCACAATATATGAATATATGACACATTCTCTTCATCAGTATAACCCTAACTAAAGACTGTAAAAAAAATGCAGTCAAAGTTCTATAGTTTAAATTTTATAGGTTATGACTCTAGGACAATCTAATTAATCCAGATCATTTAGTGCATTTTTGGTGAGTAAATCATCCCCAAAAACACAAATTGAATATATAGTATAAAAAACTCATCAGATAGAGACTAATCGCCAGAACAAAATTTGTTGGTTCTTTGTGAGATATAGGAAGAAAAAACTACTCAATAGAAGAAAAAAAAATATAAATTAGATTTTTGACATGGTATCAGATCATTATCCATATAAATTATTATTATTATTATAATTGAATCGATCAAAAGTTATATTTGATTTTTGTTGACCAAAAAAAATATACATACATATGTTAGGGTTTTTTCTTACAAATAAATATTAAGATTTGATACAATAATAGTTACATCCATTGAATCTGCCAAAGTTCTATATTGAAATTTTACAAGTAATGACACCAAGACAATCTAATTTAATCCAGGTAATTTAGTGCATTTGTGGTGAGTAAATCATCCCAAAAAAATACGAATTGAATATATGCTAAAAAATACTCATCATATAGAAACTAATCTCTACAACAAAATTTGTTGGTTCTTTGTGAGATGTAGGAAGAGAAACTGTTCAATAGAAGAAAAAAATAGATATTTAATATTTGACATGGTGTCAGATCATTAGCCATATAAGTTTTTTATTATTATTATAATTGAATTGATTAAAAGTTATATTTGGTTTTCGTTGACCAAAAACAAATATACATACATATGTTAGAGTTTTTTCTTACCAAAAAATATTAAGATTTGATACTATAATAGTCAATTCCATTGAATCTGCCACAATATATGAATATATGACACATTTTCTTCATCAGTACAGCCTAACTAAAGAATGTCAACAAAAAAATACAGCCAAAGTTCTACAATTTAAATTTTACAGGTTATAACACCAATACAATCTAACATAATCCAGGTAATTTAGTGCATTTTTTGTAGTAAATCATCTCCAAAAACACAAATTAATATATGGTAAAAGCAACTCGTCATATAGAAATTAATCGCCGGATCAAAATTTGTTGGTTTTTTGTGAGATATAGGAAGAGAAAACTACTCAATAGAAGAAAAAAAGAATATAATTTTGATATTTGACATGGTATCAGATCATTAGCCATATAATTTTTTTTATTATTATTAATATAATTGAATCGATCAAAATATATTTTTGGGTTTTTGTTGACTAAAAAAAATATACATACATATGATAGGGTTTTTTCCTACAAAAAAATATTAAGATTTGATACTATAATAGTCACATCCATTTAATCTGCCAAAGTTTTATAATTAAATTTTACAGGTAATGACACCAAGAATCTAATTTAATCCAGGTAATTTAGTGCATTTGTGGTGAGTAAATCATCCAAAAAAAATACAAATTTGAATATATGCTAAAAAAATACTCATCATATAGAAACTAATCCCCATAACAAATTTGTTGGTTCTTTGTGAGATGTAGGAAGAGAAACTGTTCATTAGAAGAAGAAAAAATAAATATTTGATATTTGACATGGTATCAGATCATTAGCCATATAAGTTTTTTATTATTATTATAATTAAATCAATCAAAAGTTTTATTTGGTTTTTGTTGACCAAAAAAATTTTACATACATATGTTAGAGTTTTTTCTTACCAAAAAATATTAAGATTTGGTACTATAATAGTCAAATCCATTGAATTTGCCACAATATATGAATACATGACACATTCTCTTCATCAGTACAGCCTAACTAAAGAATGTCAAAAAAAAAAAATACAGCCAAAGTTCTATAATTTAAATTTTACAGGTTATGACACCAATAAAATCTAATTTAATCCAGGTAATTTAGTGCATTTTTTGGTGAAAAAATCATCCCAAAAACACAAATTGAATATATGGTAAAAGCAACTCGTCATATAGAAACTAATCGCCATAACAAAATTTGTTGGTTTTTTGTGGGATATAGGAAGAGAAAAGTGTGGTTTGATATTTGACATGGTATCAGATCATTAGCCATATAAATATTTTTATTATTATTATAACTGAATCGATCAAAAGTTATATTTGGTTTTTATTGACCAAAACAAATATATACATACATATGTTTGGGTTTTCTATTACCAAATAAGATTAAGATTTGATACTATAATAGTCTAACCATTGAATCTGCCACAATATATGAATATATGATACATTCTCTTCATTAGTAGAGTCCTAACTAAAGACTATAAAAAAAGTACAGCCAAAGTTCTATAATTTAAAATTTACAGGTTATGACACCAAAACAATCTAATTAATCCAGGTAATTTAGTGCATTTTTGGTGAGCAAATTATCACAAAAAAAAACAAATTCAAAATATGGTAAAAAAATAACTCATCGTATAGAAACTAATCGCTATAACAAATTTTGTTGGTTCTTTGTGAGATATAAGAAGAGAAAACTGTTCAATAGAAGGAAAAAAAAGAATAAAAATTTCATATTTGACATGATATCAGATCATTAGCCATATAAATTTTATATTTTTGATTATTATTTTATATTTTATCTTTGCTCAAGAAACTCGGTCTATGCTTCATTATTATCCCATGAGCTGCTTTCTCTATTAAACTTCTTCTTTATTTTATAATCAAGTTGTATTCTGATAAAAAAAAAAAATAATAATATTTGAGATTGGGTTCTATCTTTCGATTTCTTATTTATACTATGAAATCAAATTATGAGTTTTATTTTATTTATTTTCAGTCTTTCATAAAGAAAACTAAAAAGTAGTTTGAATTTTAGCTGAAGATAAGTATTATGCAAAATAATATACTCAGATTTTGTATGTGATTTTTTATGTTGCTATTTAGATGTCTTCAACTAATATGTATGTATTTCACTTAGAGTTTGTGGGCTTTATGCAACAACCGAAACCAAATCCAGTCATATAATGTATTTGGCATTTATTTTACTGAAGACATAAGTTTCTTCACAAAATGTTTGAAGAGGAATCCAGTCTTCTTACGATTTTGTTTCGTATCGGCTTTAAGATTTAAGAAGTTCTCTATAAGCAGAGGAAGTTCCATTGAAAACTTGATGATATATGATGTTTCAGACTTTAACTTATGAGGGAGAACCTGAATTTAATCTTGAAAAACTGATTGTCCAATATCATTTGTGTTGTCATGTATGAACTTGTCGAATGTGTTGAGATGTGACAAGTTATTCTTAACATATTTTCTCTTCATATATTTTGTGAATTCTTAAAATCTATTTACTTATCCTACAAGTAGAATTAGGTTAATTTGAATATATAAATATATGAGTTAGTGGCTTTTTTGAAATAAGAAAAAAAAAGCTTCTCAACTAAAAAATTGAATTATAAATTTAATATTTTGACACTAACAATATGAAAGATGTACACGTCCTGACAAAAAGATACCGCACCTCCATCTCAACATCAGAATCACAATCGGAGGATGGTGTCTTTTCATCTTACACACAACAACTTAAAAAATCAGAACTATTTGATTTTTCAATTATCCTCTTATTTTTGGACAATATGTATTATGATTTTTTTCTCTCATCCAAACGACATTAAGATTTGATACTATATGAGTGAAATGCATTGTATCTGTCACAAAATATCAAGATATCTGAACAAAAGTTATTATTATTTTTCAACCAAGTTATATAGTTCATATTAACCTAAGTAATTTTATATGAAGACAGAAAATACCCCGGCAGCTCTATTGTAAAAGGTATATCTGTCTTTCTACCAAACAGCTGGACTGTCTACTAAATTTTAGAGCGAGAGAAGAAGAAGTTTCGAGAAGATAATTCATTCCATGATATTACAATAACCGGCCAATTGTAAATTACATATAGAAAATGAAATTGTAATAATGTTATTGCTAGAATTATAAAATTCTAATCCTAATACTCTTCTTGAGCATGCAAGTTTTGTATGACTAATATGAACCATTTATTTTGTTTTCATGGAGAAATTGTTTGATAGACTTCTACCATTTTCTTTTTCATGTTGGTGCTAACAGAATGTTTACCAGAGTCGTGGTCGGATTTATCAGATTTGCAGATTCGTTGGATTTTTTTGAGTCGTCAATTTCATAAGGATTGGTGGGATCATTGGGTTCATCAGGATTATCAAGATCATCGAGGTCATCAAGATTAATAGGGTTAATTGAATAGTCAAGTTATCCGCCATTGTCACTTTTAGAAGTGTTGGGAATATCCTGAAATCATTTATACTT